CTGCTGTTATAATAACCCTTTCAATTTTCGCACTGAAAATCTGTAAGGATTCCTGAATTCATGTGAATAAAATATTAGTCTATTGTGCCGACAAAGGACCAGGTCTGATTTTATAGCGAGCGTTACAGATTTCGTTCTATCGAAAGCTTTGTACCCAAGCCTCCAAGTTCCCAATGCAATCGAATTTATTTGTCAGGTAAAAATGACAACACTCCGTAACAGCGCTTGTTTTGTTCGTCACTGAAGTGTTCCTGATTCCCAAGTATACATACGACGATACACACAAGACGGGCAGAAGTCCGGCCTCGTAATATTACGAGTTTTTCGCAGGAACAGCATGTTTATGTTCAAACGGCTTGATTTCACAAGAGGCGTTCAAATTTCGACCGATCAGTGCCAACGCGTGCACGAATAAACATGGGCAGGCCTCGTAAGCGTTGTGAAATCCCCCTACCACGCACCCGAGCCTATGTTAATTCCCTGCGAGGCCATATGCGCGCATTTCACGTCCAATTTCCTCTTATGTGAATTACGTGAACTCTACGTGCCGTACTCTTGAAGTTCGGCAGCAGTCAGGCGCCGTCAGATTTCCGTACTCGCTCGCCGGCACGCGGCCTGAACTCACTCCCCGTTTTCTGCCCTTGCATATAATTTTCTCCCTCCTCCACTTTCTAAATTCTCATCTGTTTAACTACACCTCCTGCGTCCCCATCTCTTGCCTACTTTTCGTTCAGCTCAACTCCGCCAGCACCCGGTCGACGCGTACGCTGTCGGGGCGAGTTGGCGAGCGAGTACGGCAATTTCACGAAGTCTGTCTTCGGGCTGCGAGGCGGACGGTCACGACAGCGGCAGCCGGTCTCGCGAGCAAAATAGCTGCGAAGCGCAGTGCACGAAATTAACAGCCTCGGGTAGGGGGTGGGAAGGATTTCACAACGCTGCTGCCAAGGCAACACTTTCCCGTGCAAGGGCACTGAAACTAGTCGCAATTCCTATGAATGTAGTAGCACACTCGAGGCCCTTGAACCAGCATGAAATGTTATCGACACGGGGGCTTCCGAAGCCCCCGTACTTGACGCATTTTCTTAAAGCGTGATCTTTTAACACGAGCACGCCGCACAGTACCCTGCACGACGTTTGGCTGTCCTGCGTTTACATTGCGCACCTAAATAAAAAACAACGGCGCCCTAAATAATGCTGACCAGTCAGAATACGACGCACTAAAAAAAAAAAATGTTTACTTACGCTGCATACGTGCGACGTATTAGTCGGTTGCCACTTGTCTCGTTTGATTTTAACGGTCCAAAGAAGCCTTCTTTTTGGGTCTCTTGGAAACCGGTACAACTTCCATCCGTTTCTCGAGTGATTCGAGCACTGCGGCACGCAGCAGCCGGGCATGGTGATGCGGAGATGGGTGCATAAAACTGTAAGGGAATGAACACTGCCCAACAACACCTCACACGCCAAGCACGAACTACCGGCCGGAGGCGCCAAAATGGCGGTCGCGCTGGCGCCGAAGCCGAGGCGGCGGCATCTGCCCTTGCAAAAGCTGACACCACTCTAAGCGGGGGCGCGCGCATCGAGGCACTCTAGATCCACAGCGATTGCAGCGCCGCGCTTCCAGAGGTGGGCCCCGCGCCCGTCGTATCTGACCTCACAAAGCGTTATTTGGGCGCATTGCTTTGGTGACGCTGTCGCAGTAGCGGTTGCGTTTTGTCGGCGTTCCTAAGTAAGTTTTGAGATAGAATCTGCTTAGGAGGTGCCAGTTTGTCGTATACGTAATATAGTACTGTCCGTCATCTTTAAAAATATTGCCGAATTTTGTAACAAAAGCGCACTTCTGTTGAAATTTGCGCACTGAAACAACATGCCACGCCTGATAAATGGCCCCACCGCGGCGGTCTATACTCGGCTGCTGACCCGCAGGTCGCGGGATCGGATCCCGGCTGTGGCGGCTGCATTTTTGATGGAAGCGAAAATGCTGTATAGGCCCGTGTGCTCAGATTTGGGCGCACGTTAAGGAACCCCAGCCGGTCGAATTTTCCGGAGCCCTCCACTACGGCGTTTCTCGTAATCATATGGTGGTTTTGGGACGTTAAACCCCACATATCAATCAATCAAACCGATAAATGAGAAGCTGTTTTCTCCCACCGTTGCTTTTTTTTAATGCAATACGGCTCAAGTTGGCGTTAGCCTATATGCACTGCGTTCGTGTTATCCAAACATGCCTCTACAAAATTTAAGTGTTCCTTCTACAAGTTTACGTCGTATACAACTGGGGCTGGCGTGCCAATTATTACGCCATTACTTGCTGCGTAACAAACTTACCTATTTTGTATTTTTATTGTCTGTTTTTTTATTGTCATGCTCACATATAGCTAAGTCGCATCCGGCGTCACTGCGAACCCCGCCATAATCCTGATACACATGCTGTAGAAAGTCACTGAAAACCACAAACTTGGAAACGTCGGCGTGTAGGAACGCATAGTAACAGACGCGTCGTATTGGTGGACTTTAAAGATGCTCAAACGCAGCAACAGCCGTGGTTGTCCTATTAGAGAATCATGTATACATCAATTATAAAGGAAGGAATCTAAAAGGCAAATTTACTGCTGACCGTATACGTTGCAACTTTCAGTAGCGTGAACTGCTGACACCTATACGTACACTGGTCAGCAGTGGGGATGGAAGGAGAGAAGTAAGTATATGACCGGATGAGATATATAGTGGAGGTATACACTATTCACATGCGTACAATGAAATATTTTGCGCGATCATGAAATAATTCATTGTTCCGAGGGATCGGCGCGAGTGAATTAGTCACCGGACCGGCTCCGCACACTGCATGGTATAACGTTAGGTCACTTCTTGGCCGAGCTGGCTCCCGCGCGCGACCGTGGGGCCCGGCGCTGTCGGCCGACTGCACGCGGTTCTGTGCTGAAATGGGAAACTGGCGCCGTTTCGTTTGGCTGCACCGTTGCTGCACAAATACTGCACAGGCTCCGTATTAACAGCCTCGACATCAGCCCCAAAACTCCTTAGCAACTGGAACAATGCTGATTTTATTCTTCGTGTGTGTTCCAGCTGTATATGGAAAAACAATGCATAATTATGCTACTTATTCCATTGTACGTCGTACGGGCGCAATTTCGTGGTGATTGCAAATGGTATCTCTTAAACAGAGAAATATGTGTACACGCATTAGAGCACAACTTGAGCGTGAGTGAATGCAACACTGCGTTGACAGCTTCTGCCTAAGGTGCGAAACCTGTTGACGTGTAAGATATGTCAATGGAATGGGAAAAATTCGGCGTTCGTTTTGTCTTCGCTGCCTCGCTCCGCCCCCCCCCCCCCTCGCGCGAGCGCTCGGCATTGGTTTTTACAGCCGAAACTGTTAAGAGATCAGAACATGGGTCACGCGTGGCGCCGTCTGCCGCCGGCGCTGGTGTCCGTAACCAGAATTGAGTGAAAGAAAAAACGTTAATAAATGAAAAACACCAATATTTAAGAAAACTTGACTTTTGTGCTGAATCGTTAAAACGGAATGTGATAGATTGAATCATCGGTTATAGTGAACTAAATATGAACCTTGGTTGGTAACGCTTTAATTAAATGACATTCGTTATTTTATAATGAAGCCAAATATTCCAAAATCGTCGGGATATTGATTGTAACGAACAAATATTTGGTTCGCGCGAGACTAAACTAGTGATGCAGAACTACCGGTAAATGGACTATAGATAGCATCGATACATGGTTTCTTTGAAACTATCAACAATGTAAAGAAACCATCGATACTACTATTATCGATAAACTATCGGTAGTATTACCGATAGTACAATCGATATAACTGTTCATATCATTATTGTAGCACAATTCGTAGCGCTGTGAAGAATTATTTCGTTATTGGTCGATGATATTGCCAAAACATTCACGATAGACTACTATCAGCAATTTAAGTTTGTTTATGAGTAGTATGCTGGCGAAAAAAATTAATTAATTCCGCACCAAAAATGTCGGTTCATATCCGTCTCAAAACTCGTATTCTAAAACAATCAGGTATACATCTTACAAATAAACTCTGTTCTTGATATTTTTTCTATATTTGCATGTAAACACCCAGCAATTGACACCTGATATTTTTACTTTGAAATTACGAAATTCGATATTAATTTCAATCTGTAACGGCTCTCCTTCTGCTGCAGATGAACAGTGCTACTTAATTTTCACGTGTCAGCAAAGCATTCTGGGGAAATAACGCGAGCATGCCTTTTTTTTTTTTTTTTTTTGCCCTTCAGCCTGCTTCTGCTGCTACACCATTTAACGCATTCGAGGAACGAAGTTTATGCTCCAAATAATTTTAAAACCGATCTTTATCACTGTTAAAACGAATATTGGGTATAATGAAGTAATATCGAGACCGGTTCTGCCGAATTCCGTAAGGTGGCGGAAGGGTCAAGAAAGATAAACAGACAACCACCTATTTCTAGCACGAAGCCCAATGCGTACAGGTTCGTTAGTAAGAACGCCTCTTAATATAGTGGCTGAAAATTTTCTCCGGAGATCGAATCTAAGACCAACGCCTTTCCGGGGCGGTCGCTCTACCAATTGAGCAGACCAGAAAGCTAGCAATATACCTATAGGATGCGTGGTGGTGAATTAATCGACAACTCAAAGCGCGGTAATACAGATTGCAGAATATTGCAAGTCGGTTCTGTTGAATGCCGCAAGGTATTGGAAAGGTTAAGAAACCTTTTCCCTTTTAGCTTATTATCAAGAAAAATCCGTACAGATTTCCTGTTTGCTTTGTGCTACAAGCGGGCGGTTGCCAATTTTCTTTTCTTTAGAAACTATTCCATGGTTCCAATGCTATATACTTTGTTATAAAAAAGTCCTACTGTATAACGTTTAATGGCACTGACAGCTGATTGGTGTTTAGAATCAGCGAGCCGTTATAGACGAAACACGGGGCGCTTGACCCACGTTGAAGTACATGTACGCAGTTGCATGAACCCAAGAGGGCCGGGCGGCCAGAGTTCCGGTTTGTGGAAGACAACGGCTGGCCGGTGACGACGCGCCAGGAGACGTCGCTGACGGTGCTGGACGTGATGAGCAACCGGAGCCTGTTCATTCAGATGGGCGCCCTGCCCACGGGCGACGCGGCGCCCAACAGCATCATGGCACCGCCGCTGAGCAACGCCCTGGTGGCGCCGCGCTCTCAGATGTCGGTGGCAGCGCTGCCCCCCGAGGAGTGGGACGGCAAGCGCAAGAAGTCCGTGCGATTTGGCAGGTCAGTCGCTCTCTCCGGCGTGGCCCATTCTTCGCTCAACTGTGTCAGCCTTGAGCACAAGTCTCGCGGTGTACTCGAGGTCTATATTGCGCATTGAAAATGTGCGTGCTTGTTTTTCCAAGCTAGCGTAGATGACTGCGCGCGGGATGGTGCCATCTCCGCATCGTGCTGTCATATTTCGCAGCTGGAATTCTCGAACTATAGGGTAATCACAGCAAAAGGTAGAGTTGCGCTAGTTGGCTTGTGTTCACATTAGAACAGCGCCGAGACGAATCACGAAGGAAGACTAAACAACACGAGCGCTGCCTGACAACCGGTTGCTTTATTGAAGCGAAACAGAAAAGAGGAAAAAGGAAAACAAAACATGCGCGCGCAACCTACGCACGTGAGAAAAGACTGCACATGCGTACCACCATCAAGTGTTTCTCCAAATACGTCCGCTCGCAATCGAGTAATGTAATCGACGGTGCGCTAACACATACCTCATTCTTCTTTCAGATAGCAAAGGCTTCAGCTATCTCTCTTATGCGATATTCAGTGTGTCTGGAAACGATGGTGGTGCGGAAGGATTCTGGGGTGCAACCACTGGCGGCACAGTGGGAATACAAATGGGAGACAGGTTGTGCTACCTCAACATACGCCTGCGTGAGCACCATAGCTTTTTAAAGGGTGCGCCTGTCTCCCATTTGTATTCCCACTGTGCCGCCTGTGGTTGCACCCCAGAATCCTTCCGCACGACCATCGTTTACAGACACACAGAATCTCGCATAAGAGAGATAGCTGAAGCCTTTGCTATCTGAAAGAAGGGTGAGGCGTGTGTTAGCGCACCGTCGATTACATTACTCGATTGCGAGCGGACGTATTTGGAGAAACACTTGATGGTGGTACGCATGTGCAGTCTTTTCTCACGTGCGTAGGTTGCGCGCGCATGTTTTGTTTCCCTTTTTCCTCTTTTCTGTTTCGCTTCAATAAAGCAACCGGTTGTCAGGCAGCGCTCGTGTTGTTTAGTCTTCCTTCGTGATTCGTCTCGGCGCTGTTCCAATATAAGGTAACCACAGCAAAAATAGGAAAATATGAATTCAAAACTTTAGACGTGGCACTACAGCCTCTTGAGACAGCCGACACTAGTGTGCTTTTGACAGAGGAGGTATACGTCAAGTTGTGGCTGAAATCGGATTCGATGTCGAATTTGGTGGCATTTGAGCGGAATCGCTTGAACTGGAGATGTGGATCGCTCTTCAATAGTTTGGTTCATATGGTGCTTGAAGCCACATAAAAATCAAAGGTCTTGCCTCGGTGCGTACGCGATGTAGGGCACATACTGACGTGTAAGATCGCACAAGGACAATCATATATTTATTTTTGTAGAAAATTTAGCGAAAATCAGTTTTAGCTGGCCAAATGTTGCCGAGCATGAGTGCTTTAAGTGCAGTTGAATACATGTTAAAATAGGGCACACTGCCATTGACGCTTGCTTCTTTTTTCCGTGTGTCGCGTGTCTTTCGATCAGGTTTTCTTCCGGCTGGTTTGGTCGGTTCTCTGTGAGGTAAGGTGGCATTACTGTGTGGCGTGCATGCGTGCACGGTCGTCTGGTTGTTTTGGAATGGTGTGACCCAATTACAGTCCTCCGCAACATTGCGCATTATTACACACACTTCAAGGACAAAGCAACTTCAACGAGATATCAACTGCTTTTTTCATGTGTGCTTCTCAAGCACCCCAAGGGAGAGCACTTTGTTCTAAATGGAGTCACCTGAAAGTTTTCGATTGCTTTAGATTCAAATGAGATCTAACGCGTTTTTTGCAAAAGCGTGCGTGAGAAATAACTAAAAATGGGTGTAAGACATGTGAGAAAAGAAGTTGATTAACCATTTGCTTTGTTCTTAAAGTAGCCCCTCCCCCATTCCCCTTTTCTTTTTTTTTCTTCCTGAAGACGGCGCCCTTATATATGATGACGATACGTTTAAAATCACATCTCAGGTGCTTGTTGCAGTTGCAAGTTTGTTAACATGCTCGATTTTTTTAACGGGCTATAACTACTGCATTTTGTCCCTATGGGCTCTTTGCGTACAGTTGCATGATTGAGGCCCACTATTGTGTTTTGCCGTGACACACTGATAGTTTGCTCTCAGCACGTACTCAATAATTGGTCACCGTTTGCATTAGCAGAGCTCGGCTAACAATCACACGTCTGCAGGAGCGTCGTACCATTCCATGCTCAAAGCCAACTGCGACTCTGCTTCGGTGATATTCACATCAACAGTAGTACAGAACAGCCAACGATAAAAAAAAATAACAGCCGGAACCAGCAATTCTTGGCGATGGTGCTCCTTAATCCCCGAAAGTCAAATAATGCCATGGGTTCAAAGAGGCACTATTTTCAATATTATACCGCACATGATAGGTTTCATGTTTACCGTGTGCAAGCTGGAATATCTGTTTTGTGAAGGAAGTGACAAGAACGAACGTGAAGAGGCAATGTTTCAGCAAGCACCGACAAAAGTTCCCAAAGAGAATGAAGTAAAGAGTGGCGAGTGTTACCGAATGAGTTAAACGTATTTAAAAATTTTTGTTAGGTAACCTATGCATATAGGAATTTTCGTTGGTTCGTGCTGAAACTTGAAACGCGTGTCATATTGCCGGGCATATACTATCGGCAGGGGTGCAACAGCTGCGCCAATCGCGCCAATTTGATACTAATTCCCATTTCTGCGTCAGGCTGCGCCATAAACCCGAGATTTACTGAAATTGTGCCACGCGGCGCGAAAATTCCCGACCAGCCTCTAATATGTCTCAGTTGTGCTCATTTGAGCGAGAAATAGAGGCCATCTTGGTCACCTGCAGTTTGAGTCATCAATGAATCCAAGCGCGCGGACTCTAACCCTAAACCACGGTGTCAGATGTATTCCCTTTAGGTCAGGGCACTCGCAAGGCGCGATCGACCAGCTGAAGCAACAAATCCGCGCGCCCATCGGTTCGCTGACCGCAGAGGATACCTATCGGCGGGACGACGCAACTTCTAGATAAAAATGCGTTACCGTATCCACCAACGCTTCGCGGGGAATATAGACTTCCTAGTTAGCAAACGCGGCCATGGCATGTTAGCAGCTAGAGCTGGAAGAGCATACCGCGGTTCTCGCGCGCGAACAGGGTCGACGTGCTGCGAACTGCGGCGTTGCCGGCGCCACGTTGGTTGCCATAGCAAAGGCACATAAAACATTTTTTTTGTCTTTAAGTTGCGTTAGTTGCGCCGTCCCTGCGATAAATATCCGCTGCTGTCGCCAAATCAATGGGCACGTGCCGTTGTTACTTGAGCGCAGCTTGCAAGTGAGCTGAGAAGTTGTGGCGTAAATCTAAATTCATCGTAAAAAAAAGAAAAAAAAAACAGAGTAGGGGAGAGGCAGCGTAGCGGTGTTCTAAAATTTCTCGGCATTGCTCTAACCCTTGCTGAATGCTGTTTAACCTACCTTCGCTGCGGTACACCACTGCGCCGCGGGAAAGCGTATTACGACATGGCAGGAACTCTCAGCACTAGTCACGGGACGCAGCTCATTTTTTTCAATTATTCATGCGTGTATATGCCGCGTAACTGTGATTGCTAGTATGATTGCTGACTTCGAAAACTGTTATGGGCAATGTTTTGTAGCACTGTATAACATTGCTGGCCCCTCCAAAAATAAACTGCGCGCCAGTTTTTTTTGTTTTTTTTTTGCCACCCATAACCATCAGTTTCACTTATCCCCTGATTTTCAAGGTCGCCAGCTTGGCAGATCCACATTTTAATTCGCAGAGTCTGCCGAAGTATTTGAGAGATGCGGCAAATGCTAATGTGGACTTTATCCCTGTTTCCTCAGTGGGGTGGTTAAAAATACTACTTTCACTGAAATTGCAGTGCTTATGTTCATTCTGCACGGTTCTCGTGAAGTTGAATGGTTTGCGCATACTTTCTTTTAATGTAAGCCTTCTCTTTTTATACTACTCAAAATTTGATCTTTTGTAATAAAAAAATTGATGTTTTTTTTTTTCGGTAGCTGCTCTAAATTAGCATTTTAGTGCTCCAAAACTTAAATTTTGCTGCTCCAAATTCTATTTCGGCTGTTGGACCCCTGCGTCGGCCACTTCATGCATGGTTGTAATTTCCGATAACGATGAGCCGCGTGCTCTCGGGCGTAGATTTTATACACTTGTCAAGACTGCGCGGAGTAAAGCTTGGCCAGTTGCACGACTGTTCTGCTCGTTCATATTGCGAAGGACTGTATGTGCACTTTTACTGCATGTACTATGGTGCTTCTACAACTTTTAGTTTAGCCCGCAGTTGCTTTAGTCCGTTTGAAGCGTGATTCCTCGGCTTCCTTAATGCTGCATAGTCACGTCCGTAGCATTTGCATTCAGTTCCGTTTTAACTACAAGAAAAAAAATCAATGGCCTTTCCTCAATCGAGAAAATGAGGGCAAGCGAAGCTTGACTGATCTATGGACCGATATAACAAATCAAACGATTATATTATAATGCTGCTAATTTTTGTCTTTCGTCAGCGGTCAGAGTCGCTGACGTGTGGGGAGGTGGAGGTGAAGCCGCGCACGCTTCGCCTACACCGCCCCACACTCTCTGCGTCGCTCGTATTCGCTCTCTCCTGCAATGTCCAGTCAAGAATGGAACGCAAATTGCGCGCGCTTCACCTGCAACTCCCCACCATCTCTGCGGCGCTCGTATTCTTGATCTCTGCGGCGCTCGTATTCTTGATAAGACAGATGCTTGGACTAGTTGGTGATTGGGAATCAACACATTTGCACAGCGCAAGACTGCGAGTAGTTACGACGTAACTACAGAAGAAGAGAGAAGGACAGAAAGAGCGTTGACTTCAACTGAAATTTTATTAGCGAAAACGCTGGAAATATATACTCATGACAGAACAGCGCTCTGCAAGCGGGTGCGCAGTCCGCACGAAGGAGCTGCTGCACAATCAAACATAGAAGGCTATTCGTAGCATGTGTGATAGC